TGTCGTGCGGATGCAGCAGCGTAGCTCGGATCGGCACTCACTCAGGCCGAGCATGTTTTGCAAGTCCGCCGGAGAGTAAACCCTACTGGCTGTTGTGAATGAGCTCCACCGTGGTCGGCGAAGTTCGGGGATCACTCGCTCCACGGGCGGCGGCGTCCGCACCATCTACATAGATGTTAAATATACAACATAACCACTGAGCTAAACAGTCAGCGCTGACTCAAGCGGTTCATCGGCTTACAGGCGGGGATATGTGTCTTCATCGTTGACGACTGGTGATGTGTACCGTGACTTTCAGGTATGTATCCCAGACCTTTTTCCTTTTTCCTGAAAAAAGGCGTCAAGGTGGCTCGGAGGGGGTTTCGAACCCTGTGGGTGTACTTTTGTTCAATATACAACACCTGAGCTTATCAGTCAGTGTGTACCTTTCTCTGTCTCCCACCACACCATCAATATCACCGCGCCAGGAAGAACGAGACGCACCAGACGGCGTAGAGACGTTCTTTTTTGTTGCAAAACAGTGTGTTGCTCGAGATGCCGCAATTAACAAGTTGTACGAGGGTGTGCGCCATGGCTTAAGCTAAATAGAGGGATCCTCCTGCTATTCACTTACCTAAAAACTGCCTGCGCTGTGGACGATGTGTACGTACCAGATTCCAGACTTGGGGCGAGACTAGTAAAACCAAACGCCAGAGGGGCACAGATGGAAAATCACAGTCATGACACAATGTCTCCGTGTCTCGGTTTTTGCAGTTTCATCTTCGGTGAGCTGAGTGGTGTTGAGTAAACACCAGGTTGATTTGCGAGGGGGGCGTCTCGACCAGGGGGTTGAGAGCGTTGGGCCTCTTGTCTTGAAGCAGGGGAGCATGATGATGAGCTTTAGCCGCCGAAACCGTAGAGGGTGCGGCCCTGGCGCTTGAGGGCGTACACCACGTCCATGGCCGTCACGGTCTTCCGGCGGGCGTGCTCGGTGTAGGTCACCGAGTCACGGATGACGTTCTCGAGGAACACCTTGAGCACGCCGCGGGTCTCCTCGTAGATGAGTCCCGAGATACGCTTCACACCGCCACGGCGTGCCAGACGGCGGATGGCGGGCTTGGTGATGCCCTGGATGTTGTCGCGCAGTACCTTGCGGTGGCGCTTGGCGCCGCCCTTGCCCAGACCCTTACCGCCCTTTCCGCGTCCAGACATGTTGACTTGAGATGTTCTTCTTGAGAAGAGGAGAGAGTTGTTGTTGTGAGCATGGGGGGGGCGAGGGGCGAGGGCGCGGCAAGAGGCGACAAGCACGCTGAAATCTGTCCTGCGACGTCCGGGCAAATCATTGCGCGAGCGGGAACAAAGTGCGCCGCGTTGATTGGTCGTATTTTGTTGCGTGCAGCTTTTGAATTTATAATCTCGCCGCATCACATTCCGGGCCTTGCCTCTTGCCTCCGACCTCGTGACTCATGACCTGGTGACTGCTGTCCTTACGCAACACCGGCCACGCCGCAGGATCGGCGTGATACATTCCGATGCAAGGCAGTATAAACATCGCAATTGCCCAAGCTGTAAAACGGCTGAAATCAGGGTACACCCCTGTTCGTATCGAGAATCGGGCGGTCTCGAAGAAGTCAATCCCTGTAGTCTAGCCTGTAGCCCTCTGGCTGCGTAGTGACCGCCCTTCTTGTTTCCTACCGACCTACCCAGAGTATGTAAACCCACGAACACACATTTGGCACTACCTGAATGCCGCTTCGAGAGAGTTTGTAGAAATTTTCAACATTCGCGAAAGCCTCGATCTTATATCCCCCCGTTACTAAATAGGCAACACACCTTGGGGGACAGCAGAGACACAACACTGCTGCCCACTCCCGATGCGGCACCACTGGTGGACTATGTACGACCTCACTTTTCGATGTTGCGATGTTTTTGCTGCATTCTCAAAGGTTAGTGACGTTTTCCCACTTTTTTGTGCCTTGCTTCCGTCACGTTCTCGGCATCTTATACCGCCGCCGTCTCTGACGACTACAACAACCAACCAACTTCTCGCCACCTCCTTGTGGCTGCAGAAAAAATAGCGCAGTGCCTCTCTTGCTGTCATAACTTTCTATGATGTTTTCCCGCTGTGAGCGAAACGTTAAAATAACAAAATAATCCCTTCGAAAGAAAGAGCATTGGACACATTAGTCTACTATATAGGGAGGAGAATTCACCAGTAACTCGATACCGCCAACGTCGGTGCAGCCCTCTTCTTTGCATCGCACATTTCACCCCCGCCTCTAGCACGAGCGACCGCCGACACCCACCCAACGGCGGCAAGCGTTTTCATCCATCAACCGTATTTACTCCTCCTCCAACGTGCCACACATGTGTTTTTCAGCCTCTGCTGTATGTTGTGCTTGGGCTTATCCAAACCCACCCATAATTGGCTGAGTTGGCCCCGAAAAAACACCCGCACCGCCATGGGGAGGGGCGTGGTAGATGCAGGAAGAGTTACAGATAGCGCCCGCACCTCAATTAGCAGTCAAAAACTTCGTACATCATATCACAAACACAAAAACTTGAGCACCGTTTGTAAGCCCTGTTGAGAACCCTACACTAAACCTGAAGTAGCGACCTAGTTGTATATGTATATGTACATAGCCCACATAAGAAAAGAGGAACTAAAGAACCTCAGCCTCGGTAAAAAATAAGGTGTTGTGTAGCGCGGCTAAAAGCGCCAACTGTATTCATTAGGAGATTCTCATCGTGCTATTTTTACGTCGACTCTTCCGTCGTGGGGTTCGGTCACCAATGTTTCTACCCCTAACACCCACTATTGTTGCGGTCGTGAAACTACCTCAATAGGGCGGTAACCATGTGGTATGCGTTGCCCCAATCGGCGCGCCGCAAACTGAGAGAAGAGTGTCACGCAACGTGTACTGGTGGATGGGCGTACATGTAGCACGAGCCACATGTATGTATGTAATAAATGAAGACCTCGTTTGGTGTTTTCATTATCATTAACAATGATACACCCTATCCACAGAATGAAAAGTATTCACAGGACGGAGGAGTTTTCTGGCACACACTTTACATGCGATGCTTCGCCAGCCTTCAGATTGATTTTGGACAACTTCCGCCGTTGTCACAGGCACACCCTACAAACGCGGTGTTGCGCAGTGCGGTCACCAAGCGTGCACACTAAACTACTCTGTTGTTGAAACATTTGTATTGTCGCTGTTGGCTTTGCCCGAAAAATTAGTTTTACCCCATGCATATCCACTACGAGGAGTATCGGAAGGCAGGCGTGGTTGTCCTACAATCAGTCAGTTTTCGGCTCCACGACCGCGCTGTATCGGGACCACTCTGAATGTGTCTGTTGTGTTCGGTGAGGTGCTTGGTCAAGTTCGCCGGTACGACAATAGGGGCACAACTTGCAACGAGAGACCCTGAATTGGATGCCCTTTCTAAGAAATGTTTCACTGCCCTTGATGAATGTGAGAGCCTGGTCCGGTGAGCACCCGGCGTGCTCCGACCCCGGCTTTGTAGGGATGCGAGGTCAATGGTCTAACGACAACGGCATGCACGACTATGAGTACCTCCCCCCGCTCCCCCTTTCAAGTCATAATGGCAGTCGGGAAGGGAGTAAAGGTAGGGGATACTTGGGTGCCGGAATGCTGTTTGCGGATGACTTTGTTGGGATGTCGGAAACCCCTAAGGGACTGCAACATCAAAGTGACGCAGCGAAGGAAATTGCTGATAAGTGGAGATCGTCTGCCAACGTGAACAAGAGTGCCGTCATGGTATGCATGGAGAACAGGGAGGAACCAGAGGAGTATGGATGGAAGTGGGGGGTCGAGGAGCTTGCAGAAGAAGTGGACCAGTACACATATCTCGGAGAAGGGATCGCAAAATTCTGCTCGTGGAATGCACACATGCCCAAGGTAGCGGAACAGAGCAAACCATGAGCAGGGAAGCTGTACCCAATACTCCCAAACCGGCACGTCGATACACGCATCAAATTGACAGTTACGAAGAGCGTAATCGTACCGCCGCTAGAGTACGCCGGAGAAGTATGGAAAGGGAATACGAAGGTAGTCAAAGAGCTCGAGGCGGCGCAGGTGAAAACAGCGACAGCGAAATCGTCCTAGGATGCTTCAAAGGCACAAGCAATGCAGCCGTCAGGGCAGAACTGGGGACCCGATCCGTCCGATCGGGAAGAGACGCATGGAAGCTGACATGGCCGTATCGCATGTGCGGTATGGGTGAAGAGAGGTTGCCGGGAATAGCTTGGGAGGCGAAGTGGGCAAGCAAAAAAAGGGGTAGACAACCCACAGAGTGGGTTAAGGTTGAAAAGGGCACATGGAAGGGGTTCAGAATCGACGAAGGTGATACGCTGCAAACGGAGGTTCTCGAGGTGTTCAAGGAGAAGATATATGTTGCTTGTGCCGAGAGAGAAGAACATAATCTAACCAAAGAACGAAGGATGAGGAGGTTCTAGAAGTGTACGGAATGTTGGAAGGAGGAATAGGGTTTAAGGAGTACCTACATGAACCAACGATGCAGGGGAGCTTCAGGATAAATTCAGGACCGTGGACATTGGCCTTCGAGAATGTAGACGAAAATTATGAAGGCAGATGTGGAGGACACCTGTCGGGAGTATAACCAACCATGAGTGCACATACAAAGTGTAGGAAGATATAGCTCCATCGGGGTATCTTGTCACTGGGAGAGTGACAAGAAACGCACCGGCGGAGATTTGTCTCTTCCGAAGTCCATGGCCACTTGCCGAAAGGAGAAGCAGAGAGTCTTCGACTCTCCTCTCCCTCTGCTCTCTCTGGCCACTCTTTATTTCTACCCTCTTCTCCTCGTTTACATATCACGAGAGGAAATAGCCTTCCCCTGGCAGTGGGATAATACTGCCAAGGCACCGGCCTCTGTCTCCGAAAGTAGCCAGGGTCCACATTGGCGTCGACTAGAACACGACTCCGCCGTGACTACTGTAGCGAGGAGAGAAGAAAAAAAGAAACGACGAGAAAATGACGAAAAGCTCCTCGCAGCGCAAGAAAGAGCTTCGCGAACAAGTCAAGGAGGCGGCAGCACTGGTAGCTGAAAAAGATGCGGCGCTAGCGAACCAGGAGCGGGAGCTCGAGTAGCTGCGGCGAAAGCTCGCCGGTACTGTCCCCCCGTCGTTGTCGACCTCTACCCCACCGGGAAGGGGCACCCCCTCGGAGCGTGTGTCTGAGCAGGGTCCCTCTCGGGGAGATCGGCCCCAACAGGAGCCGATTCCCGAGGAGGCCGCGCCAGCCACCGGCGAGGAGAAAGGTGCTACCCCCGAGGGGACAGCGAACGGGAGCGACGAGGACGACAACGACGGCGACGAAGGGGAATGGGGCAACGAGAGCGAACGGCATGTCATGTACGAGTTGCTCGACGGCTTCCGGTCACAGAACGTGTCCGCGGACGATCGGCACGCGCTCATGACCTCCGCTGGGGGCCAGTTTGCTGACATGCTCTCACGCCACTGGACGGAGAAGTCCACTCCACCCGAGTGGCTGGTGTCCCTCTTCCGCCCCACCGCACCTCCCACCACCACGACTCCGGCTTCTGCAGAGGAAGTGGCTCAGGTGAATACTTCTTCGACAGCACGTAGCAGTATACCAGTTGAGGGAAATCAGAGCAGTGGAGGTAGCACCTCCCCCGACCTAGTTCTCCGTCAACCAATCTTGCCTACTGTCACTCAGAACACACCTGCCCATCCTCGGAACCTAGCCCCTGGTTTAGCATCTACTCCGGATAGCCAGAATAGTGATTACAGGCGTAGCAACCCTGTCGCACCCGAGTCGGCATCTACTCCGGATAGCCAGGACAGCACATACAGGCCTAGCAACCCTGTAGCACTGTCTACACCTCAACTGGCGCATTTTTCTATGCCCACAAGCACCCCTACCTCAACACATACATCGGGACACACCCAGAAATTTACTTTTCGCCAGAACGACCTTCCGAAAGAAATATCGTTTTCGGGGAAAGCAGGAGATTCCGATGTTGTTGAGATACTGACCCGATACCGAGCACGTGTAAAACTAGCCTCTGTTGCAGCAGACGACCCGGCCGAAGCTGTAGTAGACCAAAGAGCGATTCAATTTCTCCCCTTCGTCATTCGAGGCCAAGCCTATGACACTCTAGTGGAACTGGTTAGTGGTACTCTGGAATGGCGATCGGCACACCGGTTGACCGCACGCCGGAATGCAGGACAAGTTGTCAGGCCACGAGCACCGGCAACTTGTGATGAATACTGTCAAGCTTTCACCTTTTATGTCTCCCCGCCCAACCGCATTGCGATACTAGCTAGAGAAATAGCCGTTCTCAGGCAGAAAGGNGTTCGAGAGGACCCCCCAAACTCATTTCAGGACGCAAGACTTCGCGCGAAAAAACACGAGGCAAATAATCTGAGAGGCGTAGCGTCACCCATATCCGACACCGTATCTGCTGTCGCGTACCCTGAACCCCCACAGCTGAAGCAGACTGTGTCCTCAAACACGGCGGTTATCAAAGACCTGCAAGCTGAGGTCACCCGGCTCAAGTCGATGCGGCCGCCGAACAAGAACAGCACAGCGAGTCAGGGTGCCCGAAAAAGGTGCGCACCGCGGGTAAAGGCAGTTCTTCCTCGGCATCGAAAGGGGAACCGTGCCCCTACCCGGGGTGCAAGTTCAACCATCCCCTTGAACAGTGCGGATTAAAGAAAAAACACGCTCAAGACAAGGGATGGACTTGGACTAAAGCTTGACGGGGCCCTTCACGGGACTCCTCGCTCGTAGGGAGACAGGTCGATAGCACACCGTTAGCTGAAGAAACTCATGTAGCACAGGATGCCCAAGTTGATTTAGCCCCGTATGTGCATGACAGTAGCAAATCGAGGGAATAATTTTTTCCTCGGGTGAGAGGTGGTGATGTGACGTCCGTTCAAGATTTTAGCAGTAATTCTGAGACATCGGTAACAGATTCTGCCCAGGCACCGTTTCATAGTCGGTCAAGTAGCAAAGCAGGGAAAAATAGGAAGAACAAACGCACTCGTGCGCCGACTTCTAGGTTAGCCCCGCAAGCTGAATTTGTACTGACTGGTAGTATGCCATTTAATCATAACACGGAAAGACGTGCCTCTGTTTCAAGTGCATCGAGTGGTGGACCCACTTATGCGGCGTTTCATGCGTCAGCACTGAGGAAATACCCACNAGCTGAATTTGTACTGACTGGTAGTATGTCATTTAATCATAACACGGAAATAAGTGCCTCTGTTTCAAGTGCATCGAGTGGTGGACCCACTTATGCGGCGTTTCATGCGTCAGCACTGAGGAAATACCCACAACACCCGAATGCGTTAAATTCGTCCTCCAAGAGAGTGCGAATTCCTGCCCGAGTTTGTAATCACGCTGTGTCTGACCTCACTATCGACACAGCAGCTGATGTACCGTGTATATCAGCGTCTTTTATTAAATCGCATCCAGTCCTGCAACGTTTACCTCTGAAACCTGTGCCTCCTGGCGCAATTCAGTTGAATAGTGCAGATGGCTCAGCGTTAGAAATCCTAGGATACATCCGTTTTAAGCTCACACTGGGAGATATCACACTACCAGTGGAGACCCTCGTGTTGCCCAACCTAGGTCCGGATAAGATGTTGCTCGATAATAGCATTATGAATGCCTTTGGTGCCGTCCTTGATTGGTGCGGTGAGCAACTTTCATGTAAAAATTCAACACAAAAAATTCCGGCAACACAGACGTACGAATAGTCAAGTGGACACCAATAATGATGCCCCACCGCAAATTTCCATAGTGACGCTTANATATCTCTCTAAGAGATTCTGCATCCCCCCCGAAAGTGAAATGGCAGTAGACGTCGTGACAAAACACGCACCACAGGCAAACACGCCTGCGTTGGTCGAGCCACGGATTGTCACTGCCCAAGACATCGAAACGTCTGAAAATATACCCGAAGCGTTCCGTACAATCGTAGTCGCTAGAACGGTATGCAATTGGTCAGCAAAGGACAAGTCCGCTGCAGTACAAGTTGCTAATCCATCCAAACGACACGTTTACATTGCACGCGACACTATTTTGGGGTATATTTCGCCAGTAAAATCGGTTGCCGATAAAACAATTAGCGCTGTCAATAGCGACCAAACCACATTCCGACACAAGCGAGACGAGTTGAAACGAGCCATGAAAAAAGCGTTCACGAACACTACATTTACTCCTCAACAATGCTCGCAAGTCTTGGATTTATGCGCGAAATGCCGTACGTAATGTGTTTTCATTAACTCCGAAGGAGCTCGGAAAATGCAGGATAGCCAAGGCAGATTTTCCGCTAGAACCAGGCACTAAACCAGTCGATCGTGCTCCCTATCGTACTAATCCTAGAGCGCAAGAAGTTATCGACAAGTGTGTGGAACAAATGGAAGACGAGGAGATTATTGAACAGAGACCCAGTTCATGGGGATCTGCTGTTACCATCGTAGCAAAAGCTGATGGCACTCCTCGATTCTGCGTTGACTATCGCTCTACTATCAACAAGAGTCTAATTCGAAAATCTTGGCCCATGCCAGATATAGAATCTCATATTGATACCGTTGGAGGTGCAAAATTTATTACTGTCTGCGATATTCAGTCAGCCTACCACTAGCTTCGGAATTGCGAATGCTCCTTTTCTGTTTGCCCGTATGATGTCTCTGGCATTCTCTCATTTCGGACTACGCAGTGGACTTTTGGTGTATATGGACGACAATATTTGCTGCAGCTCAAATTGGGAGAGCCATCTAATNAAAGCTGATGGCACTCCTCGATTCTGCGTTGACTACCGCTCTACTATTAATAAGAGTTTAATTCGAAAATCTTGGCCCATGCCAGATATAGAATCTCATATTGATACCGTTGGAGGTGCAAAATTTATTACTGTCTGCGATATTCAGTCAGCCTACCACCAAATTGAAGTAGACGAAGCAGAGCAAGAAAAGACTGCTTTTGTGACACACAAAGGGAAATGGGTTTTCAAACGCCTCCCCTTCGGAATTGCGAATGCTCCTTTTCTGTTTGCTCGTATGATGTCTCTGGCTTTCTCTCACTTCGGACCACGCAGTGGACTTTTGGTGTACATGGACGACATTATTTGCTGCAGCTCAAATTGGGAGAGCCATCTAACCTTATTAGAAAGCATGCTCCAAGCACTCCAAGCGGCCGGTCTTACCTTGAAACCCTCCAAATTACAATTTGGACCACAGGAAGTAAATACCTGGGGCACATACTGTCTGCAAAAGGGATTCGCATTGGGGAAGATCGTATACAATCTATTATCGACTTGCCTGTACCCAAAACAATCAAAGCACTTCGCTCAGTATTGGGAATGGTTAACTATGTGAGGAAATTTATACCCGACCTTTCTACGGTCATCGCACCGCTAGTCGGACTCACACAAAAAGAGCATGTAAAATCAATCGCAAAACGTTGGAACCAGGAACATGATAAGGCTTTTGCAGATATCAAACGTTTACTCAGCAAAGCACCTGTGTTATGTTTCCCTGACTTTACCAAAGACTTCGTGGTTCACGTAGATGCTAGTGAAGTTGGTGCAGGAGCATTCCTGGGCCAAAAGAACGGCGACGACGTGAATATTATCGCTTATTTTAGCCAACGATTTAACAAAGCTCAACGTCACTACTCTGCGACGATGAAAGAATGTTACGGTGTGGTCTTGAGTTTACAACACTGGCGACCCTACTTATGGGGCAGACATTTCGAAGTTGTCACGGATCACGCGGCATTGAGATATTTGTACACTATGCAAGACACGTCTAATATGTTGACCAGATGGGCAATCGCTTTGCAGTCCTTTGACTTTACAGTGCGACACAAGCCAGGAAAGTTACATGTAGTCCCAGACACCCTATCGCGGTTGTTTGCGTTCGATCACCAACAACAGTTGGAAGCACCGCAACTTGCACCGATATGTAGGAATGTGCCTGATGACCCTGCGCTGCACTCGAATGTTCCATCACGTCCGTACCAAGTGTCTGCAGATCGATTGGATAACTTGCGACCGGTTCAAAGTGATCGCGAATTATTCGCTGAGAAATCAGTGTATATTAGCGCGACCAACGTATTTGAAACTATTAACCGCGATATCTTGCGTGAGAAACAAGCTCTTGAATATGGCACATATGTCGACTATCTTACAAAAACTGACGCCCATTTACCTGATAACGAGACAACCACTTCCATGTCGTACTACTTCATGCGTGATGGATTGCTGTTTAAATCGTATTTACCAGGCTACCTCCGGAAACGTAGTACGTTTAGTGACCAATTAGTGTTGCCTCAGGCCCTTACCGGACTAGTGCTGCACGCCTATCACGACCACGTATTATCTGGAGGCCACTTAGCGTCTAGACCGACTTATGAGAAGATCCGCCAGAAATACTGGTGGCCAACCATGAATCGGGACGTCCGTACTTGGTGTGAACAATGCCAAGCTTGTCAACGTCGAAAAACAGCCCACAATCGAAACAAATTACCAACGGGACATGTACCAGTACAAAGACCGTTCGAACGTATTTCGGTTGACCTAGTTGAATATAAAGTAGAATCAGTTTCAGCCGCCGGGGTACGGTGCAAATATGTCCTATCCATGATGGACCACCTAACCCGATTCACCGTGTTGACTCCGATTCCCAACAAGTCAGCAATCACTGTCGCGCAGGCCATTATCGACCGCATCATCAGCATCTTTGGATCGCCTGAAATGTTGCATTCCGACCAAGGACCTGAATTTGAGAACAGTGTCGTCCAGCAACTACAGCGTATTCTGAACTACAAGAAAACCCGCACGACACCGTACCGTCCGCAAGGTAATTCTGTTTCAGAACGAGTACATGCTACCATGCACGCAATGCTTGCCATGCATAGTTCCATGAACCGCGATAACTGGGCATCACTGCTGCCTTTTGTCCAACTGGCTTACAACACGTCATTTAGCTCCACCATGCATGAAACACCATTCTTTCTTATGTTTGGACGGAAGCCACGACTACCAGTTGACATCATTCTCGGCATCCCTCACGTGGGAACAACAGCAAATACCGAGGAATTCTCTAAAACTACACAGGAAAATTTACAGGTTGCTTTTGAACTTGCGCGCCGTAACCTATCGGAACGCACACAAAAACAAGCTGCCAAGAACGCTAAACTGCGCCCTATCCCTGTGTTCAATCCTGGTGATCTAGTACTTGTGTACCGCCCATACCAGGATTCGGATGGACCAAATCCGAAACTATTGTTACCGTGGAGAGGACCTTACGTCATCTGCTCTAAATTATCACCGGTGGTATATAGAGTGAGACGCCAGAACGAAACTCGTGAAGTTTCGGTCCATTTAGCCCACATTAAACGGTACCACGCGAGGAAAACGCCACCTGCGCCAGACTTTGATAAACTTTCCGAGTTTTTCTTAGGACGCCAGATTCCGTTGCCCGAGCTAGACCATCCCGACGAAGCTCAACCGAAAATTGAATCCTACGTCGTTGACAAAGTGGTAAGCCATAAGAGTGGTAGGGGGCCGAAAACCCCGTACAACTACAAGTATCGTTTGCGTCTTCGAGGATACGGCCCTGAGTCAGACCTTGAATATAGAGCAGACGAAATTCCACAATGTCAAGGGATGATAGCTGCCTACCGAATCCGCTGTGGTTTGGACATCGTGCAGTTTAATAAATCTTCGTCTCGTGCCCCAGTAGAACAGGGAGACCCAAAATCACCCAGTAAAACAGGGAAACGAAAACGAAAACAGGCAACTACTCCTCAAGAACCTTCAAGTCGAAAATTGGTTACGCAAAGTGGCCCTGAGCCATTGAACAAAACCAAGAAACGACGAAGGCACCAAAAGGAGGTTCCATTACCCAAATCGCGTTCTGTTATGACACAGAGTAATACCCAATTACCCTGACGTGCGAGCAACCGAAAACGATTTAGGGCCCGGAAATTAAACGATTGAGTTACTCTGTCGTTCCTAACAGTTGCCATATCTATCTGTTCCGACGCTTGGGACATTTTCTACTACTACTATTATTCTGTGTTATATTTAGCACAGGACCAGTAGCCACGGTGGTTGGTTGTGTCCATTGGAAACAAACTATTTTTTTAAAGTGTTTGGGGAAGCACTCACGAGGAGAGTTGAACTAAACCACCGTTATCCCAAGATCGTTTTTTTTTTGATGAATAGGTAAACTTGCCAGAGGGTCACCTCATTACAAGTTCATCCCTCATCGAGATTTTTTTTTTGATGAATAGGTAAACTTGCCAGAGGGTCACCTCATTACAAGTTCATCCCTCATCGAGATTTTTTTTTTGATGAATAGGTAAACTTGCCAGAGGGTCACCTCATTACAAGTTCATCCCTCATCGAGATTTTTTTTTTGATGAATAGGTAAACTTGCCAGAGGGTCACCTCATTACAAGTTCATCCCTCATCGAGATTTTTTTTTTGATGAATAGGTAAACTTGCCAGAGGGTCACCTCATTACAAGTTTATCCCTCATCAACCCCACAGCATAGCATGCTACACGAGCATGATCATGCGAAATATTATAATACACTAGCTGTCATCACGATAGCCCAGTACTCAAATTGTTTTTTTCTAGACTATACTAGTATGGACCACATCTATCACTACTCCGTCTGAGGACTCCGTATTTTTTAACACGCTTTGTACGATGATCAGGCCGAGTTGATGATGTTGTATCAGGTAGGTTAACTCCGATACATGTGTCTCCATGAGCCACACATGTCTCTGACCGCCAAAAGCACATCTTTAGCACAGATGGACTTGTGGCGCATAGGGGGGGGGGTGATGTGGAGGACACCTGTCGGGAGTATAACCAACAACCATGAGTGCACATACAAAGTGTAGGAAGATATAGCTCCATCGGGGTATCTTGTCACTGGGAGAGTGACAAGAAACGCACCGTCGGAGATTTGTCTCTTCCGAAGTCCATGGCCACTTGCCGAAAGGTGAAGCGGATAGTCTTCGACTCTCCTCTCCCTCTGCTCTCTCTGGCCACTCTTTCTTTCTACCCTCTTCTCCTCGTTTACATATCACGAGAGGAAATAGCCTTCCCCTGGCAGTGGGATAATACTGCCAAGGCACCGGCCTCTGTCTCCGAAAGTAGCCAGGGTCCATACAGACGATAAATACGATAGGTTCAAATAAAAAATGTGATTGCGGCTCCGAGTTCGAAGACCATGTTCATGTACTTGAGGAATGTCTTCTGTACAAGGAGAGGGAAGATACACGGAGATGGTTGAGGCATGGCATAGTCAGGGGAAGACTGCTGTAGCTGTACTGGGGCATAGGAAGTGGGTTGAAAAGGCGCGAAGTAATATCGACAGGATGCATAGAATAGGGAAGACATTTTGTGCTAACCTTGGCAAAGTAGGAACGATTGGCCCTTGTGGGAACAATGCTCCGTCCTCTCGAGGACGCTTGGTCAATGGTCTAACCGCGAAGGTGTGCAAAACGCAAGAGTACCCCCCCCCCCCCCTCCTGTGGTCGAGTAGATCATGTTGTGCGGGGTCGAGAACCCTCACTCGGCGCAAAGGAGATGATCACACCACGTTCAGTTGGCCAAGAAAGCGGGATCGACTGTAGCAGCAGAAGAAGCTGACGCCCACCAACAACGCTAGTCGGTGTGAGAGCTCGTGGAGCTTGTAGCAGCAGAAGCACAGCAGTACTTCAGTGCAGAAGAAGATGGAGAGATGTTGTAAACACGGCGCTTTTATGTGGCCAACATAGACAGATACACCCCACAGACGGTCGTAGTCCAGGCAGTAGCCTATGCCAGCAGCGTCCAAGGTACGACAAGGACAGCTAAAGTACCCAGACAGTCCGATAGATCACAGAGAGAGTTCCCAAAGAGTGAGGTCGTGCACCGAACGACAGAGCGAGCTACAGACTACGTAGTCTACAGCACTTAGTTCCTTCGCATACGTCACGTTCCAAACGATACATAGCTAACACATACGTCATCCGTCTACATAATAAGCAGTAGTACTGAACATTGACTAAGACAGGAGATGCGTAGAGATATTTCCATAACACTTCCCTTCAATGAAAGTTGTCTGCGATAAACATGCGAAATTGATGACCGTTTCATGCGAAAAATAATTGCCAGCAATATCTGGTGAAATGAGTATACATAAATAAACTATATAAAAACAGATAGATCACACCGTGTTTCAGCAAAAAAAGTCATTAGCTACTCCCCGAAGTTCTTGATGAGGTCGAGTAGAAGACGAAGGCGATATGTTTGCTCAGAAATTTGGTCCCGATGTCAGCGAGTTGATGATCCGTAGAAACGTAGTGGATGGTGATTGCACCTTCCTTGACCAGCTCTCGAACACAGGAGAAACGTAAGGCGATGTGGTTCGTACGGGAACTGTAGGCTTGATTCCCGATGACGTGAAGGGTGGCCGTGTTGTCGATGTACAACGGTACTTGACCGAACTGCTGTCCGAACCCTAACTCAGTCATCATATTAGAGCAGAACACTGCTTCCTTCATCGTTAGAGCTCCAGCCTCCAGCTCCGCCTCCTCCATGGTCGACATTGCCGTTTATCTTTGCAGATCCGTCTTAAAGCATACGGGAGCCTTCGACATCATGATCATGTAGGATGAAGTCGACTTCGCATTATCAGGGTTGTTACCCCAGTTGGCATCCGAGAATGTGCTCATTTTGAAGCCTCATCGCTTGTACGTGATGCTAAAATCCGGTGTTCCGGCGAGGTACCGCAGAAGATGCTTAGCAGCACCCATGTGCACCTTCGCTGGCTTGGACATCGCTCGCGCAAGCTGGCTTGTAGCATACATGACATCGTACCTAGTAATCTGAGCGAGATACGTGATCGATCCGGTGATGGCCTGATACCTCTGCGTTTCCTCCTTGTTCAGAAGGGTCTCGGTAGGCTGCTCCGTGGATAGCTCCGAACCAAACCCTGGAATGGTCGTGGGCTTGCATTTCTCCATACCAAACTGCGCAAAAATGGACCTAATGTGGTCGGCTTGTGTGATGGTGACGAGTGACCTGCATCCCTAGCACAAGTGACGCATTCCCCAAATCACTCATTTGGAACTGCTCCATGAGCTTTTTCTTAATTGCTTCTATTGATATCACTTCGATGTTTCCGCCGATGACGAGAAGATCGTCGACGTAGAGGGTGATGATCACAACCGTGTTGTTGCGCTTGTAGATGTACACGCAGGAGTCCGACTTGAGTGGCTTAAACCCAAGTTCGATGAGTTTTCGATCGATTGTTTTCCACCAGTTCTGGGGGCTTTGAGCTAATCCGAATAAACTCTTTCCAAGCTTCATTACAAGCTTCTCTCCGTTAGCGTTACTGGCTTCGAAGCCAGGTGCCATCTTCACAAACGTCCTCCTCTATGTCAGCATAAAGAAAAGCAGTTTTGACGTCAAGTTGACGTTCCTCCCAGTCCATCTCAGCAGCAATGGCAAGCACCATCCGCACACTTTGCAGTCTGCAGACAGGAGCGAAGGTTCCACCGCAATCCTTGCCCGGAATTTGATTCCAGCCCTGGGCTACCAGAGTGTCGCCTTGCACGTGCTGTCGGGCTTGACCTTAAACACCCATTTAGAACCAATGACATTTTGATTCTCAGGAACTTCAGATAGCGGAACGACGTATAAACCTGAAGCTCTTGAAGACTCTTGATCTCCCTCTCGGCTGCTTGTTTCCGTAAGTCTGCTTCCACGAGCTCCGTGGCCTCTTCGAAGGTGTCAGGTACCTTGCTCGTTCCCCTAGAAGAACAACTTTCGACTTGGGTGCTTGTTGCTGCATAGGCGTACTCGACAAAGCCACGCTGCACATCTTTGTGCGCTACGTCGGGAAACTCCCCCTTCGCGAAGGCAAGCTTTTTTGTTCGCGAACAGTTCTCGCCGTAGGCACACTCCCAGCGCGAGCAGACCTGGAAGGTAAGTTACGAGGAGGAGAAGTTGACGTAGCCGGTGTGGAAGTGTCTCCCGGAGCAGCGGCTGGTGAGGATTGTTGCGAAGAAGAAGACGGAGCACCCGAAGACCGAAGGTTTCATGAATTTGATCGAGAAGAGAACGCACCGACACGTCATCTGACATGCGGTATTCCGAAGCCGAGTCAGATCCTCAGAATCGTCGTACGAAAATGTTCCCTCGTCAAACCCACTCACCACGCCCGGTTCCGGCATGACCGACGTTGTCTCGATGAAGACGACGTTGCGGCTCTCGCGTACACTCCTCGTTCCCAGGTTGTAAATCCGAAAATATTTGCTGTCGGCGCTGTAGCCAACCAGCCGTCCTTCCCAGGCACGAGCATCAAGCTTGCTGGTATTGGGCTCCACGTGAGCTTGCTCCGATCGCCCGAAGGTTGCCAAGATAGGCCTCCTTGCCATGAAGGGCCTTGAAGGGCGTCACGTTGTCAAAAGCCGAGTGTGGAGCGCGGTTGCTCAGATACGGAGCGGTCATGAAGAGCTCTCCCCAGAGAAAGTGCGGTAGACCAGAGTCACCAAGCAGACAGCGTACGAAAACCGCTAGCGTTCGTCCGATCCGTTCATTCGCGCCAATTTGTTGAGGAGTGCTTGTGGAAGCAAAGTGTAACTTGATTCCGACATCACGACAGTATTTGCGAAAAGCCGAACTCGTGTACTCTCCACCTTTGTCCGCCCGCACACAGTCTAGCCGCAGTTCATGTGGTTTCACGACAGATTGGTTGAACAGCTGAAGAGCATCAACTGTAGCACTTTTCTCCTTCATCAGACTTCGTTCCACTTGGTGTGCTGGTCGACGAACTTGTTGATGTACAGGAATCCTCCCAGTGCCGGAGGTGAAACTGGTCCCATGAGGTCTGTGGTGACGAGCTGAAACGGCCAGGAGACGTCGTACGATGCCCGTTTGGGATGATTTTTTTGTTGTTTGCTTTTGCCGACGGCGCAAACGTCGCAGGGGCTCAGCTCTCCGTTGTACTCGACACCATTCCCCTTTACCTTTGGCAAAATGTCCAAGCTCCTGCCGTGGATGTGTCCTACGCGGCGATGCCATAGGGCAGCAGACTCGACCCGCAGAGCCACACCAGAGATGTCGCCCGTTTCAGGGAGGTCCATCGTGAACTGGTATAGCTCATCGCCCTCCTTGAATTTCAAAGGTAGTACCGCGTGTCCTACCTCCAACCGCGGTCCAACAGTGTCGAAGACGGTGGCAACACCGTGTTTCAGGCACTCTTTGACGGAGAACAGGTTTGTTTCTCTGTAGATTTGGAACCACATATGCGTTGAAGTTGACGGCGATTTTGCGACCATGAACATCAGAGAACATGCCGTGGATTGTACCTGTTGCAATCCCTTCCAGCTGATATTCGCCAGCTCCGTAGATGTGGTGTGGTACTGTTAGGGTAGCGTTGTCGGTCATGTACCGATGCAAGTCTGGAGTGAGGAACGGATCCAGGTAGTGATGCGATGCTCCACTATCCACCATGAGAGTGATGGATGAACCACGTGAAGGAGGCGCACCCTGCAGGGCAGTGGGCGTAGCTACAAAGGTCACGCCAAAAGCACCAAAGTGCCCGTTTGAGCTGTCCTGTTCCTGGCGCCGCTCAGCTGCAGAAGGACCAAGCTTCAGGGACGGAACCTGTGTTGCCGCAAGTGATGTTGGAGCTGCTCCTCCCGATGCACTGGATCTGGAGTCGACGGTGACGAACGTAAAGCTGAAAGATGGGTAACGTTGGTCGATCCCCACGTGTGCGCTTCCGATCACGTTCGCTTGGGCAGGCGGTCTCTGGCTGAGTTCTTTCTGTTTCTTGCGCTCGGCGTCGGAGTGCGTTTTCGTTTTGTGATAAGAGCACCACTTCTCCCCGCCGCTTCCCCGTTTCCAGGGCTTCTTGCCTTGCCGTCGATTTCCTTTTCCTTTGCCGTGTTTCGGACACTCGTTGGCATAGTGCCCAAACGCTTCAAAGTTACGGCACTGGACGTTGCTCGATTCGGCCGACATGGCGACACCACGACCAGCTACGGACGGACCAGACGACTTCCTGGAAAGTTCGTCGAAGTATATGTTTACCATTGTTGTGCGAATTTCAGTGAGGCCGAACGTCCTGTCTTTGTGGCTAGTCTGTCGTATGAAATAGTACTCCTTGGGCAGTGCTCGCAGAAGCACGCCTTCATTGCTCTCGTCAGGAATTTCCTCCCCCATGTCCTCCAGACGCAGGCGGAGATCGTCCATTTTGGCTAGGAAATCCGAAGGGTCTTCACCAGATTTCATCGCGGTATATCCCGACACGCACGGCGAGCTTCCTTTGTACTTCCATCAAAGCGATCCTCGAGAGCTTTCCACGCCCCTGCACCGTCGCCTGAGATTCCCTTTGTGCCTTTGAACGGTTTGGCGGTGATGTGGGCAGATCCTTCTGTACCGAGGAATAAAATCGAGAATAGTTGAGAATTGGCCCTTTGCCACTTGGCCACTTCCGTCGGAGTGGCGGACGTAGGGTCTGGACATGGGACTCCTTCGAGGACGTCGAGCATGTCGACGGCGTGAAAACTTTTAGCTTCGCGCATTTTGTCTCTAAATTCCCGAAATCCAGGGCCAGAGCACTTTTTGATTGACTCAAGAGCCCTGTGGAACGATGATGATTCCGTCATAACAGCACGAAAAATCAATCTAGACCCGGCAACTCTTCTTCACAACGCGACAGGCGCGTTATTTGTTCGATGCTGCACTCAAAGCACAGGCTTTTAGGTGTGACTGCTGCCCGAAAGCACACAATCTCCCCCTGTCCAGGAGATACAGATAGGCGTTCCCCCGAACTACTGAACGCGCGGAGCGTACAGCAGAAAACCGACTGCGGATGACGAAGCCGCGGTATTGTGACGTCGAAGTAGTCAACTCCTGCCACGTCCTGCAGGCACACGGGTCAGATGCACTGCTCAGACTTGCTGCACGCTTTTCAGTGCAGGCTTTTTCGGGTGCATCACCGGGGTGCTAACAGGCCAAAGTCTGCACAGCGGCACAACTTGACAGACTTTGCTGCGCGGCTCGCGCGCAGACTCCCAGGTGGGAAGATTGCACGGGAAGACGATATCCCTGTCTATGCCAGCAGTGTCAGGTACGCACGCACCGACCCAATGTATCGGCGTGCGGAAAGAACTACAAGCACAGGTGCACAATCCGATTCGCCGACCAAGATCAACGCCTAGAAATTGTGCTCCCGAATGCTCTACACAAATCAGTGTCTTTCGTACGAAGAGTGCAGATGTGAACGCCAGGTGATCAGTCCGTGTCCAGCAAGCAAGCGGGTTGACTCAATGCAGATCTTCGTCCAAAGACCCAGTCCAGGATGTACAGCGGTGCCCAGACACACCGCGTCCGCTCCACGAAGAATCCGGCGCTGCGCTGATTCAGTGGCTCATAACCTATCATGGGGATTGTGTGTGTACCCCAGCACGTAGCAGCAGAAGCTGACGCCCACCAACGCTAGTCGGTGTGAGAGCTCGTGGAGCTTGTAGCGGCAGAAGCACAGCAGTACTTCAGTGCAGAAGAAGATGGAGAGATGTTGTAAACACGGCGCTTTTATGTGGCCAACACAGACAGATACACCCCACAGACGGTTGTAGTCAAGGCAGTAGACTATGCCAGCAGCGTCCAAGGTACGACAAGGGCAGCTTAAGTACACAGACAGTCCGATATATCACAGAGAGAGTTCCCAAAGAGTGAGGTCGTGCACCGAACGACAGAGCGAGCTACAGACTACGTAGTCTACAGCACTTAGTTCCTTCGCATACGTCACGTTCCAAACGATACATAGCTAACACATACGTCATTCGTCTACGTAAGCAGTAGTACTGAACATTGACTAAGACAGGAGATGCGTAGATATTTCCATAACAGGTACCTCAAACCAAACTCCTCTTTGTCATCGCTAGGGCTCCGCTACGTGCTCTGTTGAAAGCAGCAAGAGACCTACAGCATGTACTTCGCAACCATTTGATACGACCTGGCTTCTCTCTGAACCTGGCAAACGCCGTGCTGTGACAAGTGAAAGAGTAGCTGTTTTGACTCAAGCGCGTTTCGCAGCTATCAGCACGAAACTTGAAGCTGCTATAAACCTTGGAAGGGGTTCACGATGTCGCTCGAGACTTTGCCAAACAGTAGATTGCGCAGGCATAGGTCGCATTGTGGAATTGGCGCAATTTTGGATCGCCAAGGGTTGTTCCGGTGAAGCACTCTATCGCCCATCTATATCGAGCAAACACGCCCCTCGTATTTACCTCCAATTTTGTTTGGAAATATTCAGGGAAGATGCTCCCAAGCTTGACCGTCAGTGCTCAATGTTGCACCGTAAAAAACGATCACGTCCAAACTGTACATGGTACCAAGCTGTAAATAGTACCTAGGTTGCCATTGCGGGTTGACCAAATAATGTGTCGCCCCTACAGTCGGAGTTAGTTGTTGAGGAACAATTGTCCGTCCGTGTAAGAAAGCGGCCGCTGCGGGCGCTCCGCGTAATCGATTCTTGGTAAGAATGTAAGCATATTGGCTTTTCGTCAGGAGTGGCAACCCGGGTGTCAAACCGTTGGAAGGGCGGGTGAGGGACGAGCATTGGTGTATGTCCGCCATGGCGCGCGTCGTTTGCTGCCAAGCAAGCTTGAGATGCCTGCCTGCGCTCTTAGGCTAGGTATGGCGAGGAAAGCCGAGACTTGCGCACCTACCTGCAGCGAAAACTGCTGTAAATGCGGAACTTGTCCTGTAAAACCTGACCCAATTCACCACAACACTCATTGTAGAGTACAGATACTGCTGTAGATGGACCAGCATGCCAGGTGTCTTCCCCAAAACCAGCACAATACAAAATAAACCGCACGGCTGCCCGTCTAGGGCAGGCAGGCCTGGAAGAGGCGGTGTTGTCGAAGCCTGGGCCTTCGCATGCACTACACACGCACGCTGTGCAAGGCACAGCTATCGACACTTTGTCCAGAAGCGACGGGTGTCATCCTCTACAGCTTTTGAGTGTACGGCGAAATCTCCCATGCGCATGCAAACCTGAAGAACGTCGGGCGTCGGTGGACGCCCTCTGAAGACGTGCGATGCATCATAAGGAACAAGCTCCCGCTTGCTTGAAAAAACCCTGGCCCCGCACAGAACACCCTTCAATACTACAAGTACAATCGTGCAGCGCGTCCGCACTCAGAAAATTGCACAAATGCATACTGACAACCCGAGATAGCGTGAAAGAGGATAAGAGCGCGGAAAGTGCTGCTCTTGGCCATGATTATTACCACTGCTGTGTGTGGTATCATGTGTTTGGGTTGTCTCCGTCCTGTAAGATAAACCCAAGTGATCCAGCCGGGTGCTTCGACCTAAGCGTATATCTTTTGCAAGATAAAGTTACACCATTAGACTAGTCAGCGCTGACTATTAGTGTAATGGTGTAACTTTTATCTTACACGCCCGATGACAAAATACCAAAACACAGTACGTACAAGTGTAGACTAGATATATTTTGTTTCTCCTAATATTTTCAAATTTCACCCCGACCCGAGTTTCGGGAACCAGCCCAGTGAAATGTGAGGGTTTGTGTACTGCAAAAAATGAATGTACATCAAGAGCCCCGGCAAGGTGAATACGGATGGAATGTGTTGTTCGCAGTCTACCTGCGTACCAAGCCAGCACAAAGCCGGTGATGGCGTAGTGGGATATGTATGTACTCGTGATGACGGTTGCCGGAACAATGCCAACGGCCGGTGGCTTGACAAAGATCAAGACCGGGAGCTACTCTACTGACTTGTTCTCTTCCGTGTTGTGGGTGGTGTTGATTAAACACCGGGTTGGTTTGCTGGTTGGGGCAGCCAAAAAGCAGGGCACATACAGTGCCTCACCATGACTGCCCTACAGGCGCGGCCCCTGAAGGGCAGAGCGCACCTTGCTGGTTAGGACGAGGTGAACTTGGTGACGGCCTTGGTGCCCTCGGACACGGCGTGCTTGGCGAGCTCTCCGGGAAGCATGAGGCGCACGGCGGTCTGGACCTCGCGGGAGGACAGGGTCGCCTTCTTGTTGTAGCGGGTGAGCTTGCCGGACTCGCCGGCCACGCGCTCGAACACGTCGTTGATGAACGAGTTCATGATGGACATGCCGCGCTTGGAGATACCGGTGTCGGGGTGGACCTGCTTGAGCACCTTGTAGATGTACGACGAGTACGACTCGGTCCTCTTGTTGGCCCTCTTCTTGTCGCCGGCCTTCTTGGGCGCCTTGGCGGACTTCTTGGAGGGGGTCTTGGCCATCCTTATAGGAGTGCTGCGAGGTGACAGGTGACAGGGGAGCAGAGGAGTGTTGTGGCGACGAGGGGCGAGAGAACCAGCGACCATAACTGCTGTTCTCAGTTATCCAGTTATCAGCTCAGTAGCGATGACGGAGGCGTTAGGCAGCGTTGTTGCTTTTCGCCCACCGATTTTATCACTTGCCAATCACAGAGCTAGATCGAGATCTCCGCCAATCACAGAGCAGAACGGCGCGGCGAGATCGCATTTTTGAATTTTGGAGTTCGTCCGCACACGCACTGCTGCTGTGTCGATGCTCGAGACTCCCGCAGCAGACTTCCCCCCCCCCCACTCACCACAATTCCAAACACCTTTTCTGCACTTCACCAGCACCTCACTGAACAACAACCATGTCCGGAAAGGGAAAGGGAGGCCGCGGAAAGAAGTCGACCACCAGGTCGGCCAAGGCTGGGCTGCAGTTCCCTGTGGGGCGTGTTGGCCGGTTCCTCAAGCGGGGCAAATACGCGTCCCGCGTGGGAGCTGGAGCTCCGGTGTACCTGGCCGCCGTGCTGGAGTACCTGACCGCCGAGGTGCTTGAGCTGGCCGGCAACGCTGCCCGTGACAACAAGAAGGCTCGCATCATCCCCCGCCACATCCAGCTAGCCGTCCGCAACGACGAGGAGCTGAACAAGCTTCTCGGAGAGGTGACGATCGCGTCCGGCGGTGTGCTGCCCAACATCCATGCGGTGCTCCTCCCCAAGAAGATCGCTAAGAGAGTAAAGTTGTCCCATATGGAGATACCTTCGTCTTGAACATCGTGAACTTGTTCCAACGAGCATCACACAACACAACCAACCTGGTGTTTTCTCAACACCACTCAACTGACAGAGAAAATAGAAGCCCTGTTATTACTACACCGTGTAATAGTGACATGAGATACCACACCCCGGTGACTGATTTCTCGATTCCGCCAAAGCAGAGAGTGGCAGTGCCGAAAATAGCCGTGTCGCAACCGTCTCCTCGAAATCTTTCCGGAACGGTCTCGTTCGAGGTTTACATCGTCTTGGTCGTTGGGTAAAATGGAGCAGTGAAAATAGATGCAGGGGGTGTGATATCTCATGTCCAGCTGCGGATCGGACATAGACCGGTGGTCTAGTGGCATCCTCGTAAACCACTAGTCGTACAGGTCGAGAGATCGAATCCCCACGGGAAGATATAGTAGCTGTCGCTAAAACGAGCGACAGCTGATAGATGTAACTGTCGTCAGACGTGTGCGTCCGCGGGAGGTGGAAGAGACCCTTTCTTCTTCTTTTTCTCTTTGCAATTCACGTCATTGGTTACCCGCGACGGCGCTGAAGACGCCCATGTCCGTGTACTTGACCCTCGTACTCTGTGCTAACTCCCCAAGTCTAACCTCTTCCTGCAGCCTAGCCTTCATCGTCGGCGAATTTCCAAGGTTACCAATCCTGTCGAAACTCATGGGCTCTACCATGAGGTCCACAAGTCTCTTCGCCCTACTGAGACAGACGAAAGTAAGCCCCGTGCAGGCCTCCTTGGGCCCCAAGTCAATGACGGCCTTGGCTAAAGTCTGCCCCTG